CTCAATTTTGCTGAAGAAAATAACTTTCTTTATGAAAAATAGATAAATGAAATCATATCTTTTGAATTACGTCATTCTTATTACTATGAAATATATGTGTTTTTTTTTTTTTTTTTTTTTTGACTTGTATGTTTTTTTGCGAATAGGTAGCTTGGTTTTTGAAAGATGGGTGGACACTAAACAGAGAAAAAACTTGGAATGGCCTAAATATTTCATGGGAAAAATAGACAATAGATCTGATGGTACGCGTGTAGCACAGCTCTGTAGCACGCAGATTTTTTTTTCGGAGCATCCCCCTCCCCATCTTAAAAACCGTTGTTACAGACCTCTATCAAACGGTATTTGGATTGTTGAAATACTAAAATTTTGCGAGCCTTGATGCACAAAACTAATGCCGGTGAAAGCTAGAACTAGTCGTTGAATGACGTTTTGTATTCAAGTTGTTAATTCGCATGTATCTATATACTGCAAGTTCTTCCTACTTTTTTAAATACTTGTGCTACAGAATCAATGTTTAGTTTGTATATAAAAGTATATGTATAAGAGAGGAATTCGGATCCGCAATGAATAATTAAATACGCTATGCGGATTTAAAACGCGATTTGCCAATGAATAGCATATTCTATTTCGAATAAGGCGAAATATCCCAAGGGGCGAACTCGCGCATGCGTAGCCTGTCGTTTGCCCATGGCATCCGGTTTAACATCGCTTATATATTTACTGCGCAGCTGCGTGGACCCCAGGGTCCACGCAAATATAAAGTAAATAAAGTAAAATATATATATTATGAATAGCATATCCAGTGTACCAAGTCAACAGCTAAAAAATTAAAGTTTATTGATATATGATTCATTAGTTCTCAATTCATTTCTCTCCATTTTAATTGTCCTCGATTATTGGTCAACTGTTTTAAGCTGATTGGTTGATGGACAGAGTAAATCAAAGAAGACGAAATACTCTCTATAGATTTTCATTTGTGTACTACATTAGTATTTGTTCCGAAACGAATTTTTGAAGCTGTCATCTTTGACTTACAGTATTCAGGTCGCTGCTGAAATAACACGTTATCATTGAAATAGTTTAAAAGTAAATCCTACAAATTATTATTAGATTATCTTCCTGGGTTTTCCCCAAACATGATGGAATATCTCTCAGCTTTTCTCTCTCATCGAGGGAAATACGTGTGTCTGCTATAATTTTCAATATAATTATGCTCATAATAATTTAACGAGAGTTTTTATTTCAAGAGAGTCATACTTACTCTGGCACATACTGTAGACTTCTTCTTTGATTTTAAATTTTGATTCTATTTCACCCGTCAGGGACGAAGCATCGTTTTTTACCGGGGGGCGGGGGTGTATTCAACTTACTTGATAAAAAAAAACTTAAAAGTAAATAATTGAAACTTGGAGGGGCATTGAACTTCTTTTAGTACTTAATGTTTTCGTATAAATACTATATTACCTTTATTTGGCTGTGGTACACCAAAACGGGGGGGGGGGGGGGGGGGCAACCGGTCTATAAATGATAATTTTCAATAGAAAAAAAGTTTTGACGAAAAACCCCTGATGCTACGTGTCTGTCCGTAGCATCTAACTACAGCAAAGCATGCACAGCTTTATAAGTAATATAACTTCTCGTTCTCGACTTCGTTTGCAAAAGATTCGTCAGTAAGAAAGACAGTATGTTGAAATAATACTGTACCGTTTTGTATACTGTTTCAGGATTTTATTTAGTTCAGAAATTGAAAAAGAAGGTAAAATTCTCATATGGCGCTGCATTACTTCAAATCATTAGGTATTTATGTACATTATATATCGAAACTGATCTGTTGATGCCTGTCCGGTTGCTGAAATCATTTGCTGTCGTTACATGTACGCACAGCGTTTTTAAACAAAAGAATGTCCCCATATTTGTTAACAGTACTTGATACAGGCCTGCATGAAGCAATTTCATTGGGAGGGGTGCACATTTTTTCAGGAGTTGTGGGGACTTTCTACTACTAAAAATTTCTTTACAAAACACCAGCGTCTAGTTTCTTTGTTTTTCTATAATACTAAGTATACTAAATATCCAAACTGAGAGTACATTCAACAAAAGGAAGAAGATATCACCAAACTTAATGGGGACACGGCCCCTCGTTTGCATTTTATTTTCAAAATCTGCATAGCATTCCGACATATTTTTATTTCATTTCCGACAGTTTTTTTTTTTTTTTTACTATTTCCGGAATTTACCTGTACATGTGCGGCAATTCCATGTTTTCCAAGAAATTGAAAATGGAATTTTAAAAGTATATTTATTGCAAAATATTGATAAAAAATATAAAAATCCATCTGCACATACACGTAAACATGTAGTACAAAGTCTAGGTAAAAGAGTTCAATGAGCATACTCTTTCGCCATATTTTATTAATGTGCATGCACTAAATTAAAAGTCGGGGAAATTTTATTATACAGTTGCTTCATTGGTAGATTTTAAAAACTCAGAAATTGGATTTCAGTGATTTATTTATGATTTAATTCCTTTAATTTTTTCATATGTTAAGTCTTCAATTCTGCTACTAAAAGTTCTACCTAAAAAATGGGCGAAAGTTCACAACACTAACAATATTGTATGTGCCTCAGAAAGAGAGAGATCCATTTATTTGGATGTCAGTGATTTATTCGCAGTTCGTGATTTCTTCCTTAAAAGTTTTCATAGATTGGGCCTTCAATCCTGTTTCATTGCCGAAAAGTGCAGTGTTCTACCTGAAAATGTCCCAGATTTTAAACGCTGTCTTGATCCATTCTTTCCGTAAGCGTCGATATGCCCCCCCCCCCCCCCCCCACACACACACACACACACCACATGATTTATTTCAAAGTCGGCAAAAAATATAATTAAATTTAAATAATACAAAATTGATAAAAAAAAATATTCTGTCAATACGGAGGTAGGGGTTAAATGCCATGCAGTATTTATGAGAAAAAAAGAATATTGTCTCGTCCCCTCCTTTTATCAAAATATTATAATTATGAATGATGAATAAATTGGATCTAAATCAAAAGAAAGATACAAGAAATATTTTCAACACCTTATTAGCCTTTATTATCTTCTTGCAGATCTATATAGACATACTGCATTTCATTTTAAATATTCTGTCCTCGAGTGATAGGCCTACGTCACAATAGATCGAAAACTTGAGATATGCACACTAAAACTGCACCTCTTAGCGGAGGTGAAACAAGTGCGCGGATCCTGGATCTTGCAATTTTTAAAGCCTGTTTTTTGTACTAAACACTTTTCACTTTCATTTCCTCGTGTGATATTTGGTTGTCCAAGTAAAGGAAAACGTTCAGCTAAAAAAATAATGTTTAAATGATGTACCTTAGTGACAGAATACCTTATATTACGTACAATGCCTATACGCCATTTTGATACAGAGAGAAAGTTCGGGAAAACAGTGTACCTCTGACGTCGTACTTTGAAAAATGACGTCGAACATATGTCGAACAAGAGTTGTTTGCAGTGCATTGGCAGTGTTAACATCGCCGCGTTTCACTGGCTATTTGTTGGATTTAATCGTTCTTACGACTATATGTTTTCAGTTATCGTGATGAATATGCATTGGTATGTATTTTCGTTCTTTTGCTCCGTGATTTATTTTCTTCGGGAGATCGGCATGTGCACATGGTGTAGGGACCCGGGTCTAGTCTTCATTCATGGATACTTGGAATGAAATACTAAGGATTTAAGCGCATCGAGACAGTAAATAACACTTCTACCGTGTTAATTACCGTTTATTACGTACATTGCGTGGACTGATTAACAATACAGACCGAATACACATTGAATATGGATTTACTACAGGATTTTTAACTAACTCAACTGGCGCATGCCCAAAGGGGTTAGTCGACACCCGGCGGCGACTAACCCCTTTGAGCATGCGCCAACTAACCCAGTAAAAAAATTCATCTAACCCCTGCCAGTACATGCAACCTTGTTTACACCAATAAATAAACAAACAAACACAACAATAAATAAACAAACAAATAACAAGCAAATAAACAGAAAAGAAGAAATAATAAACAGAAAATAGAATAACTTATTTAATGAGTTTATAAACAAAATCTTTACCCAAATACTCACAAAATATGCAGAGATCTAAGGCAACATTTTTTTCTACTGAGCTACAAGTCAAATACATGTAAGGAGACTTAGTAGCTTATTTTTTTTAATTCTTTAAATTCCGAATGAAATAATTATTCCGAGTTGAAATAATACCCTGTTATAAGTAGGTCGAAACCACTGGGGACCACGCAGGTCGAACACGGAATCGGGTCGTAACCACTTGACACCGGGAAATCAGTAGAGATGCAGGTGTCATAATAGTATTTCGCTTGGGTTCACTTCAAATCATGGCTGACGCAAAGAAATACCGAATCTTCCCTTCTGAATGGGCATTTTGATACAAGACTGGAGCTGAATTTTTTTTATGAGATGAAAAACAACTTGTAAACTTCCTGTACTGACCAGATTTATTAAAATTTAGGGCGTGCTATTTTCTATATACTGTCAAGAGTGGGGAGTGATTAGGCCCTGGGCTAGATTTTCATGCACCTGCTTGACTTCAAACGAAACAAACTTGCGTGCCTTGCTGAATGGCTATGTATTTTTTGGTACTAAAATCTTTATAAAGAATGGTTTTACAAGATCTGAAAAGGAATCTTCTCAGAAGTTTGATTTCAATTATTTACATGTACTCAAACTTGCACATTTTTGGTAAGAATATATAGCAGAATCTAATTCTGTTGTGCAACCTACAATAAGCATGACTATGATACTGTGCACTGAAAAAAAAATGTTTAGAGTATAGTTCGAATTTCCTCTAAATTACATTGCCTACGGAAAATGATACACTACCCTTGCCCCCAAGTGCTAATAATGAAATATTTCAAAACTATTTAATAACCTGTAGGCTTTTCCAGTAAAATCTCAGAGCTTAATAGTTACTAACTTAATTCTATGAGGAAATCTCTCAAGGCAGAAAGGGCATAGAAATAATCCCTGTCATTCCCTGTGGGCGAGTCGAAGAATCCAACACCAACATTGCCCACAGATCGATGCAATGCATCAAATCCTTGTGAATAAATATTCGAAAAATTCTCACACAACACTAAGTCATTGTTGTTTTTGACGGTTATCAATTCATACTCAAGATGCGCTCTTGAAAAACTGTCACCTATACGGCAACTTTTAATCTTCAATGGTGAGCACTAGCTGCAAGTCCCTGTAGTCCTCTAAGGCTGAATTGATTACAGAAGTCAGTGATGCCGGAGGTTTTGACGACCAAAATCTCTTAGTTAAGATCCGTTGCCTAAATACAGATATGATTTCCAATCGTAAACATTTTCGTAAAGCATCCATGATCAGGTACCTGGTGAAAATGGCACCTAGTGAAAACGGCACCTGGGCAAGGATCAGCTATTTGTAAATAATAACGGCCGTCACAGTGAAAAAAATTGTGTCAATATTTTTACATTTTTTTCTAATTAAATACATTTATATCTATACCTTCTTTCATTAATTTAATAAGAAAAGATAGTTGCATTTTTATTTTTTAAGAAAATCGCATCCAAATATAGGTGATCAAAAAGTGATGGGCGTTATGTTGACACATACAATGTGGATTTTTAAGTTATTTCGCGTTACAGAGAACCAAAAAAGACCATCATATGCATGGACCTGACCACACTTTTACTTCGGACGAAGTAGACAAATTTCTATGACCTATCTGTAAAATTAATAAGGCACAATTAATCGTGACGGAGGTGACATCAATTTTTCCTACTATAGCATTTTCATCATTCGTTTTTCTGCACAGAAATCATGTTTACCGTGAGTTTTTTCTTCACTAAATGAAGAAATAACACTAGTTTTTCATTAAAAAGCAGAACAGGATACATTAGTTCTTTCTTGAAGAATTTTTTATCCTGTATAATAAACGGATGTTATATTTGACAAATTGACAAACTAAAGTAAGGTAGTTACGGAGGTTACATTGACGACGCTTTTTAACGCATTTCCTAAGTTTTGTTAAGAATACACGCGACTTTTAATACATGCAATGAAGTTAATTTGTCAAATACAACTCCATTTAAACATTCTTCTAATACTAATTAAAACTGCTGAAAGTATTTCCATGAATTTTAAGCGTTGTGACGGATGTTACATTATAACATCCCTCACAGTTTTTCGTGGAAGGGATATTTTAACTCTCTATACAGCTTTGTAATTTTTATTTAGTAATTTTATTATTTGTTCTTCATTAATATACAACTGAAGTTTACTAATAAAATTTTATCTTTAACAAAATAATACGAAAAAAATCTTGTATCAGCACAGATTTAAATTTTGACAATGGTCAAATAATAACAGGCAATCAGCCAAGAAAATCCTGAGGAGCTGGTAGTATAGCACCTGAAAAGAAAATAAATGTATACCTCTGCTAATTACCTTAAAATATAAACAAATACTCCAAATTTCATGATAATATTATCATACTGTGTAAAGAAGTTATTATTTGACCAGAAAAGGTGTCAACATGTCATATCCGTTTTTCAATTTCTTGTCAACATGTAACAGCCAAATATGGTTATGTTAATAATGTACGAAGACAGGAAAAAATGCGACTTTAAGATAAGTAATGGTAAATATTATATTTTCTTTCTATCTTATTGAAAAAAATATGTCCATAAAATTTCTACGTAACATAATCGAATCACTCTGCTTCAGCAGTTATGGTTTGACATTGTTATGTCAGTCAAAATATAACTGCCGAACACCAAATGACCTCTATGATCGTAATAGTTCTAGAAAAATACTTAAACGTTTGTGTCAAACAATAACTATTATAGATTTTAACACATTGGAGAACATGGCTTGTCCATTTTATCATTAAATTTTATATGAATCTAATTCGGTAATTAGCGTGACGTCTGTTATCTAGTAAGAAGTTATTGACCGACAATACAAACTCATCCACTTTGCCTCTATTTTACGTATCGCGGTCGCTTTTCATGACGTTTACAGCAAATGTGTGGTAAAACTAATAGAAAAAACCGAACTGATTCTATATTCCGCATTGTAAAAGCCATTTTACGACCCAAATTACGGACGTTACGAATTTGACCGACACCTGTGCACCTTTGATAAATGTGCGAAAATTTATTATTTTAATCCTTTAGCACAAACGTTATTGAAAAGAATCCGTTTAGTATGCTTTAAAGTTAAAGCTAAATATAAAATATTCGTGTATTTTTAATACAGTTACATTAATTTCAATATTTAAAGTTAACCCATCATGTTGACCGACACTCGTAACGTCCGTTATTCAATTTCAAAGCTATTTTTCTCAGGATAATGTTAAGCAAATAGTAATTATTTTTATCTAGAATTGTAAAGTAAACATCCATCTTTTAGAATAGTTGTATATAAAAATGTGTTAATTAAAGGTATTTTTAAAAATTGCATTTTTGACACATAGGTTGGAAAATCTCTTATAAGCATGCGCAAAAATTGGACAATTTTATACAAATTCGGTAACTTTTATAATTTCATTTCTTAAAATAAAAAGATTTAATTGTTTATTGTTTCTCTTTCATATTACAAAATTATAAATACAACTTTATGAATCATAAAAAAATTATATTCTTGTTTATTTCAATTTCAAAAGTGACGGCCGTTATTATTTACAAATAGCTGATCCTTGCCCACCTGGATTATATGCAAAACGACACTTGGTCATAGCGGTACCTAGTGAAAACGGCACTTGATCAAAACGGCACATATGAGATGATAAGTTGATGTATTTATTGATATATTTTATCAATATAATATATTATAATTGTTTGTGAGTATATATATAAAAATATATATTTTTTTTCTGGGAGGGTCCATTTTTTCCAAAGAAAACAACTCATATACTGAATACCAAAAAAAAAAAAAAAAGATTTTTATTCATTTTATTCTTTGAAATATCCGTATCTTCATCTTTTAGTCTCCTTTTTTGTCCCCCGCTTGAAAAGTGGGGGTATTAATTTGGGTTTGTCCGTCCGTCCGTCCGTCCGTCTAGCTGTCTGTCTGTAACGCTTTCGTTTCCACACGATATATATCTCGAGAACCCTTTGAGCGTTTGCAATGAAATTAAACATAACAACTCTCTATGGACTAAAGAAGAACCCTATTGATTTTGAGGTCAAAAGATCAAAGGTCAAGGTCATAAATAAGCAATTTCTGTCTGTTATAACACTTTAGTTTCCACACGATATCTCTAGAAACATTTGAGCTATTGCAATGAAATTTAATTTACATAACAACTCCCTGTGGCCTAATGAAGCTAAGACCCCTATTGATTTTGAGGTCAAAAGGTCAAAGTTCAAGGTCGTAAATTTATACATTCTGTCTGTGTGTAACACTATCATTTTCGGGCGATATTTTAAGAAAATTTTGAGCATATGCAATGTAATTTTACCAAAACTCCCTAGGACCTCTCTCACCCCTCTCAAAGTGCCCCGACCCGTTTGTTTTTATAGTATTTATAATATTACATGTCGCTATTTTTAGCACAGGGGCATGAGGAGAGTTATTGCGTATAAAACAGGTTCTCGGCGGGCTTTATGTTCTTATTACATCTATCAGAACTGTTTAATAAAGGCTAAATAAATAAAACACCATGGATTGTGCAGAATTTTGACAATACCAAACATGAATATACATATGTATACATGTATGTGACTTCAATTCTGCATATATATATGTACTTGATTCCATTAAGCGATTCCGTGGTCTAGTGGTATGTTTCTCGCCTCCCATGGGGGAAGTCCCGAATTCAAGTCCCGGACGGACCACCTTTTTTTTAGAAATACTTTTTTTTTTACTAAATCATAGTATTAATAATGCACGCGAAATGAAAAATTTACGAGGTCTGGCTTGTACAAACTCATAAAATCATCATTACAGTGAGATAAATATTCCATATAAAATGAATCTTCTTTACACATAACAAAGAATAAGCAATTAAATCTTTATATCCATAATGGTATATTTTATTTGCTTCAGAATACATGCATGTATACATTTAATAATTCTACAAATTCAGTGACGGGGGTCCGACTCCCCCCCCCCCTCCCCCCGAACTGTGCATGTTTACTTTTTCCTTAAGCGGGCGACACAAATTCTCTGAATTAGCTTGTTTTTTTAGAGACTCAATACGATTGATTTTATCAAGTTATTTAATATTGATGAAAACATAATAATTACAAAAGAGCAAAAAAAAAAAAAAAAAAAAAAAAAAAAAAAAAACCAGCTTAAATAAACAGAATTAATATTTTAATGATGTCAGTTATAAGTAATAAACGTGATTGAAATAAAACACCATGGATTGTGCAGAATTTTGACAATACCGAAATTAGATTGAAATAAAAATCTTTCAGATATCTAATCGTTCATAAATCCTACTTAATTATAATGTAATTCTCTTGATTATAATTGTTACAATAGAATATTTTGTCTTCAAGAACCTTGCAGAATGAATACAATTATTGTTATGAACACTCACGAACTAATAATATCGGTAATTCAGAAACATTATTATTGGATAAGAAAAAGCTACAAAAATTATCGTATGGGAGTTTAGGAAACTCTCTGGAAACTTTAGCAGACAGCAAAATGAGAGATAAATTTAAGAGAATGAAGATGTCTCAACAAGGAAAAAATTAATTTTAAGTAAAACACTTAGCATTATCCTTGAAATCAGACACAAAAAAGAAACAAGATGATATGGAAAATGAGTAAAGTGACAGAAAGTGGCAAGGAAATACATATCTTAATATCTACTTAATCTTGTACCCTGGTGTATGGGAAAAGTGTTTCGCGGTTTATAAGGCGTAAACTGCCGAGGTTATACATAAGTTCAAATATGCCTTATTCATTAATTAATGTCCGTATTACGAAAGCCGGATAGGCTCATTTCTGAGAGGATAAAAAAATTAAGTCGTTATAACGAGTTAGTTATCTCGTTATAACGAGTTAGTTATCTCGTTATAACGAGTTAATAATATCTCGTTATAACGAGTTAGTTATTACGTTATAACGAGTTAATTATCTCGTTATA